GCAACGTGTACACGACCGTACAATGCCGCATAAATACAAATTAAGTAATTAAAAAGCCGATAAGCAAAGCAAAGGAAAGGAAGTATATGTAATCCTATATCAAAACACTGGGGTTTTAAAGTGAGTTGGTGCACAAAAAACTGTTGGGACACAGTATGAGATGCTTGTATGAGAAACATTTAAAGGCGTGTAGCAGCTTCGACATTTACTCGAATATGTTTAAAGAGTTTTATTATAAGCAGTGCCACGTAATTTCTATAGCGCCTAAAGGTATGCTATAACTTTTTAGTGCGCAATAGAATATCAGTGTTGAAAATATGCGAAAGTTGTTAGTTGAAAAATTGGAAAGTTAGCTTTGAAATCGAAGAAAGAAATTTATTTATGTAAACGTTGAACAAAATTTGAAGTGGTGAAAGCATAGAAAACATCACTTTTTGTATTTATATGTATACTTTTAGGAGTTTGCTTACATTATATGTATTATTTATGTTTTTGAAATGTTGCTATTTCCCTATTTCAAATCACTTTCCACGAATCCTTAGCTATGCGCACACTGTACGTTACATGCTGCTTATCTATCTATCACTTTTCAGGGTTATATCCATTTCTGTGTGCTTCGCCTGCTATAGTTTTCAATTTCACCTAAAAATGCTTTTTCCATTTAACCATTTCTTTTCTTTTCTGATCAACTTTTTAAATTTCACCAACACACAGCTTTCTTATTATCATCTATTTGTGTACTTATTTCTTATTTCTTCAAGTTCTTTTAACTCTTTCATGTCGTTTATTTGTTACTTGAACGGATATGCCTAAGGCGGTTGCGCTCACCACTTCTACGCTGTAACGCATTTTCAGCGCWGCTTTGTTTCCATTTCACTGCCTTTTTCGCATTTGATTTCTTCGCAACAAATTTGTTTTGCCTTCGGCCTCTTAAGTGGCATATCTAAGTTTCTTTTCTTCTACATTGTTGTTTATATGTGTATGTAGCCTGCCATTTTTGTTGTAATTTTCTATTTCAACTTTTTTAACATGTTTTTGATTACATTCCACTTTTCTTGCATTGCACAGATTTCGTTGATGATGGGTTTACTTCCGCTTATTTCCGGTTTCTTTTAGAATATTGCTTGAAGAGCCGTTGGGTTATACTATATTTTGGTTGGCGGTTGCTCGAAATTTTTTATGTTTTATTTTTATGGCACTTCTACGTTGACTTTTAATAAACGAATAGCATGCTTTTAGGCATTGAAGTAATGTAAAAGTATGAAATTGTCAATACTTATGTTTGGTATAAAAATAAAATGTTGAATGTATTATGTAAGCACGATGTTGTTGAGCATAAAGTAAAGTATTACTTTTCTTTCTTAGTTATATGCTTAAGGGTCGCTCCTTGCTGAGTCCTGCCTAGAGCTATGTTTTGTTAGATTAAATTAAGTTCGATTAATTTAAGTTAAGTGATATTAAGTCTAGTTATGTGAGAGGTAATATCAGATATTTTTCAGTTATATTTTTAGAAGATGACGCTGAGTTGTGCGAAGTTTTTATCAACCATTATGATATTGCGTTAAGTAGTCTTATGTTAAGTCAAGTTAAGTTAAGTTAAGTTTATGAACCATTGTGGCATTACTTTATGTATTCTTATGTTAAGTGAAATTGGTTAAGTTAAGTTAAGTAAAATTAAGTTACGTAATTAAGTTAAGATACGTTAGGTTATGTTGGGTTATATAAGTATATTTATACACTTTTCAACTCGTGTTGGATATACCTTACACCTCTTTTCATCTCACATCAAATTTATCAAAACTTGAAATTCATCCAGAAGAAATCAACTGCCATAGAAAAAAGTTTGGGGTTCATTGCATCGTTTATACAACTTAAAATTGATGCTTTTCTTACCTTGCAAAGAAAACTAGTGCCCACAACTGGAGCCAAATTTGTAGATTCCTGAGATAAATTCCAAAACTGTTTTTGTATGCTCTATATCCRTTTATATTTTCTTTCCATAAGTATATTTGCAGCATATATCCAGCACAACTGAAACCCTCAAAGTGCTGTACACTTAAACAAAAATAAATTTGTATATACAACAGAGTATCCTCACGCAATCTAAACYAGCTATGCGTGCTTGTAGGCGTTGCTAAATGCACACACACATACGCAAAGCAATCTAAAAATTTACACCAAAATACCWGTCTAAATTGAATGCCGCGTCGATTTGATGTTGTCAAAAGAAGCAATTTACGTGCAAAATAACTCAAGTGTCATGCAAATTGCGTTTATTTTGGCAGCTGATATGGAAATTGGCGCGAAAAGAAAATAAAACGAAACGAAATAATAGAAAGAAAGCAAAGATAAAACTCAACGCCGACAGCACATTAATGAACTGCACGGTAGAGGTGGCTGTGGTGAAGGCTTTTTATAGAGAAAAATTTGTAAAAGTTGGATGTGGTAAAAATAAATAAAAATACAAAAAAATAAATTAAATT